TACAACAGTCATACCAAGGTGTCTTAGTGAATTTAAAAGATTATGGATTATGTGATCATGTATGTTTCCAGAAATACACAACCTTTAAAAAAAAAAAAAATAAAGAGTATTTTTAGCCATTTGAGCTATGTATCTGTCAATGGTTCCTCCAAAAAGGACTAGAAAGACAAAAACTGACTTGGTCTACTGAACACACAGACCGGGAAGAACACTGCAAAAAATTAAGGTAAGCTAAAAATAAATCCAGGGAAGAGTACTTTTCCTTTTTGCCTTGAGGATCTCTTGCACTATATTCATTGATCTTAACTGATCATCAAGAAACATCACATTGTCACAGGTCATAATTCCATTTCAATCATTAACGATCTTGCAGCAAGCTATCAGTGAGAACAACGTTTCCAAGCAGTGACCGAAACCATCTTCCAAAGTCTGGAGCAGATGGATGATGATGGGAGTCTCCCCACACTCTTTCCACTGTGTCAYCCATGCTGCTGTCATTTGCCTATTACAGTGCAAAAGCTGAGGGGCTGAGACTGCCCGATGGACCAGGGAACAAATGCCTCTCCCTGTGCAGGTCCATGGCTGCCACCTCCCAGTGCCTGAGAACAGCCAGTACTTCAAGCCTACTACGGCTCCCTTTATTGTGCAAGAAGCGGTACAACACTCATTAAACAGAGRAATGAATGCAGTTTGCTGATCCAAAAGTTCTAAAGACAAACAAGGAGGGAAAAAACACGGGAGGAGGGAAAGTGAGGAAAGAAAGCAAGATGTAGAGGAGATCACCCAACTGCACCAGAAACAAGGAGCTTCGACCTCCACTTTCTAATTTAAATTTTGATTCCCTTTCCACAAGCATCAGCAAGCGTTAACATTCAACTACAATACTYTAACGACAGAAATGCAGCTTTTTATTTGTGTTATTTGGTCACCTGCTACATGGGGGGGTGTATCACTACCCCAGATTTCACATATAGGGAAAAGTCAAGAGAACTTTCACCAAGTATCCTCTAAGTATCACCACAAGTAACATGCTTTGTAACAGTTCTAAAACACTTCATCAGCTTCTTTTCATGTATCAAGTTGAAACACATGAGAATTCTGTGTGCAGGAATGGAGAACAATTGAAAACACTGGGTTTTTTCCTCAAAATTATTTTGAATGTTATTTATTTTTTAATAAACATCATTTTCTTCAGCTCTAAATCCACTTCCAAGAAGTTAAGTTACTGAGTGGCAAATCTCATTTTAAACAGCTAAACCCAATAGCCAATTACACCTCTCTAAACTCCTGGGAGACAAATATCAACGTGATATGCAGTGGGACAATTCCCTGGCCGCATAGAAAACTAATTTTTGAACAGATTCCAATGCTAATTTCAATGTGGTAGGTAGTTGCAATAAAAACAAAAACTGCAACCAAAAGATCCACTTCTCCAATATAGCTGAAATGAAAAATTCATATGATGGAAACCAGATTTTTCTAGCTCTTATCTAAGCTATAAACCAGGAAATAAAATAATACAAGTATAGCCAGCAGACTAACAACAAATGCTTAAAGAAAATACTTGAAAAACCTAACTAAAGCATTCAGAATTAAAAAAAAAAAAAACAAACAGAACTTGCTTTGAAAAGTGCTGCTCATAAATCAAATTATGAAGTATGCTGCATTTACAAGTGTCCTGAGCACTCAATATGGAATATTTAATTTGGCTTTTAATTCTACAGTGAATCATCTGCTTACTTGTAGAATACATCAGGAAAAGCAAATAACCAGCAGCAGAACCACCAGACAACCTCTCTCCCCAGCAAAAAGAAGAACAGAGGACAAAGAGGACACAAATACAACAGACTTGATAACACTTACTGTATTTCTGTGCCCCTCTTGTCTTGTTTTACTATTTAACAGCTTCCCTTCTGTTATATACCTAAGATTAAGAGGTATAAAATGCTATTTCAAAACCTAATGCTATCTCATTACTATTTTTTGACTCCTTTCCAAAGTAGAAGTACTATTTGGGGGGGAAGGGAGAATTAATTTGGCATAAAGTATTCCAGGTTCCAATTAATGTATAAGTATTTTACATACAGTAGAGGAAACAACCTGTTGCCTGATACTACAAAACCTAAAATGTAAATCTAGCAGTGTTACCTTGATCARTTCCACTCTGGCTTCAATCAAATACATACCAGAGTTATGTAAAGAGGACAAACTGCATCCTCAGTACTGAAGCTAGATTCATATTAAATCAAGGTCAAAATGTACACTCACAGCTTWTAATGCAATGTACATGTTGCAAGTTATTTGAAACACCTGCAGTTCAGATTTTGGAAGAAAAATGCTTCAGCTAATTTATGCTAAATTTTTAACAGTTAGAATTATTATGTGTGTATACATAAAAAGGAAATCCATTGAGGAAATGTCTCATGAAAAGCGTTTCAGATATTCTTGATTTGGAGACAGCAATCCAAACAGATCAAWAACTGACTTGCTCCTTTTATTGCAGAGACATGTTACAACAAAACCAAAACAACAAAAGAAAACCTCTCAGAGCATTATTCTTCATGGAACAGCGATTAGCCACACCACAACTACTATAATAAAAAAAATGCTTAATTACAATACAACACTTACTCCAAAAAACATGATTATACCWATTTGTTGCTACATTATGAGTATAAATTACAACTCCCAAAAGCAGCAGAAAAGCTAAAAAGTTCAGTATCATCTCCCAACAGGAAGAGAAAACCACCAAGCACTATAGGGAAATATGTTATTGTGCAGAAAACATGGTACTCAAGTCAAGTACCTCAATTTGCTTCAAAGAGCCCAGTAGAGAAGACTTCAAAAAGCAGCTTTACCATCCTCTGCAAAACACACTAAGAGTTCCTCTTCTAATGCAAGGGATTATGAACACAGATATATGCAAAAATATCTGTAGCTCTATATCACTCAGATGAGGGAGAGATTTGCATTCACCAACCAAAGATATTCACTGAAAACCCACCACTGCTGCACATGGAGAGGTAAAAACAAGATTGGAGACTAGGAGGGGAAACAAGTCCCACAAGAGACAAACTTGGTACACAGTATTGCATATGGACTTCAGTACAACCATTCAAGTGTCAGGGAGGCCATCAGCACTTCAAAGAATTCCACTGAGCTGCTCACCCCTATTCCTGAATTATTCCTATAAACAATCAAGCTTTCCTACTTTTTTCTTCACTCCCCCTCCAAAAAGTGTCTTTCAAGTTATTCATTTTTCTAACAGTTGGCCTAYGCAAAAGAGATTTTGTGCCCAGAAGTCACTAATGTCTCAATTTGCACCTTTTCACCAATTTAAGATCAYCACAGCCAATTCAAACACAAATACCCACTGCTCTTTCAGTGTTAGGACACTATTTACCATTAGGTAATAAAAAGACAAGGCTACTCTATGAGGTTTTCTTAAGCCTGCTGTGATTCCCAGCTTTTAAATTTACTTCAAAACACTACTGAAATAAGAATGGTTTAGCTTTCAGTAAGGTATTACCAGAGACTCTTAAAATAAAACAACTGTTATTACTTATAGGTTCTTGTCTGAATTAACTACTGAYGAAGAGATGAAAACACATGACAAACACCCCACCCCAAGCACAKGAACATAGGTCTACTTTTCACAGTGAAAAGAAATTATGAATGTGTTTTCCTAACTTCCCCAAAAAACTTTACCCATACTAATGTACTTCAATAATTCCATTAATAAATCAAAAAGAGTGGGTAAATGAGGATAGTAAATTTTGCTGATAATAAAACAGAATTTAAAATAATCCTAACTAAATGTTAGTGTGGAGTTCCAAGGCAAGTTSTCCATAAAACTGGTAATAAAAGAGCAACTAAAACTTGATGTAAATAAATACAAAATGACTACATTAAAAAATAACTTAATGTCATAATAATATGGTAAGTACAGTACAATGTAAGAGAAAAATATTTTCTACAAATTTCTACAAATTTCTACAAAATTTCTACAAAATTTTTTAAACGGTATCACAGCTCAGTGACAATCAAAAAATGCATGACTTGGTAATGAGCAAGAAAGGAACAGAGAATTAATGTACCATTACGTGAAGCAGTAATTAATGGTACACCCTCTTCTCGACTAGTGCATGTCATAACCATCCTAGCTCTGAAGTTACACAGAAGAAGCARAAAGATTCAGAGAACAGCACCAAGAACTAACTACAGGTTAGGAGCAGTTACTATACAAGAGGAGACCAATAGACAATACTTCAGCTTGGCTGAGGAGAACACAGAAGTGGCATGTAAAATAAAGGTGTGGAAGGAACAAAAATTGTGAAGTACATCTGTAACAGCCAATCATTACTATTTGGAACACGGTGTAAATCAGTCACCTCACCGGTCAGCACAAAGACAAAAAGATATGTAGGTTTTAGCAAAATCCTGGTAATTGTTGCTAAAACTGTAACCAAGTCAGAAAAATYCACAAATAGCAGAGAGCAAGCCCAACAGTAGCTGTAAGAACCATGTCCAAAACATTGGCTCTGTCCTGGAAACCTAAGCCAAGAGCTGGAATTTTGCTAGGAGAGTACATAGTAAAGGTGGTAAAATATTTTCCCTATACTTACACTCTTTCTTTATGCATCATTGGTGGCCACAATCAAACCATTTATACTGACCTGAACTGAYCTTTATTCTTTCCCAACTCCTGTCAATGTCCTTTAGCCAGTATTCCATCATCTTCTTTCATTAGCCTTTAACAGGTATGCACTAAACTATCACCAAATTCCAATTCTATTTAATTGAAAACTGCTTATTTTTCTACACCTTTGGAAATTACAGTCAATATTGAGCCAGTACTTTAAATTCTTAATAATTTTGTCACTATATTGTGACCTTTGAAAGAAAAYGCCAGTAGGACACTGCACATGGATTAAAAAAATAAAATTAAATTTTCTGCATTTTAAAATTATATTTTAAAATATAAAAAGTATAACTGGTACCTCTTGAGATTTCAACTTTTCTATGTCTGTGGAGAGGTCTGAGCTTTTTCCATGAAGACTGCCATTCTCCTGTAAAGAGACAAGCAAGTAGTAAGAAAACTTAGGACAAGAATAACATTCTATATTGAAATAATGGGAAAAAGCATTGGATTAGAAAAGTTGAACTCTGTGTTAACACAAGGAATAACCTAGAAATGTAAAAGGCTGTGTCTCATTTGCCCTGCCTTCYGGGAAACCGATCTATACTCTCACAATAGAGACCCACACACTCATTTTAGCTTTTTCTCAGAGACATCTGGTCTAGCAGCACATGTAGGAGTAGACAGAAGTTATCGTTATTCAAAATCCTGAATCAGTAATGTGCCTCATTAGTTGAAAGAAAACGGAAAACTAAAGACCATACATCAGAGCCAAAATTTATGCATGTAAGCTTGATTGCAACCAGTAAACGAAGTCCASTGCTTTTTCAGTGAATTCAGAAGATAAATTCCTGTGTTTTTTTTACTGAACATCCCAGACACAGGACAAATTAATTTGTGGCTCTTAATCTTCACCAATTCGATATACAGAGAATATATATTTCAAGTGTTCACTTCTGGGGAGAACACAGGAATGGAGTTTTCTTGTGAAAAGCAAATCAATTTTCTTTAAAAGAAAACTCTTGTCACCTATATGACATCCTAAATTAACATTCTTTATTGCCTCCTAGGGAAAAAAAAATGCTAGCACACACGGCTCACTGACATTAYTAAAATCAGAACATCAGGTATGCTGTGTGTATCTAGTTCAGGTACTTAGTTTATTGAGCTTTTAGGAAGAAAATACTAATAAAAAGAAAATGGAGTAGATGAAAAGAAATATGGTATGGAAGCTTGCTTTTGACCATTGAGTTTCATGTTATTTTAGATTATGAGATACTTTAAAGAACCTTCAGCTCAATAAGCAGGATAGAAGAAGCTGGAAAAAGAACAGGAGGAAGCTCTTTAAAAAGAAAAGCCTCTCTTGAGCATCATGACACAGCACACACTATAGCTGGTTAATGTTAACAGGGAGGCAAGCTTTCCCTACACTTTGCCAATAAATCTGCTCCTAAGTAACATGACTTCTACTTTCATTTTCTTACTATATGTTAAATAAAACATGTGCACATCATTCAAGTGCACACTTGTATATGGTTTATTTTCATGAATTCTTAACCTATACGTTTTTTAGTCTTAGAAATCTAAATTGCTACTGCAGCCCATCAAAGTCATTGAAGTCTCCAAAATATGCTAATTTGTATATTTAAAGGAGTTTTCCTTCAAAATCTTTGCCAAATCATCTGCTGATTTATGCTGTACATTCCACAAACTCTCATAATGAATTATTACATGGATATCTTACCCTTGAAGATTCGTATGAAGGACTTGGCTGACCGCTTGTTCCCCAGGATGTGGCACCTGTTCGCTCATCCATACCTAGCAAAAAAAAAGAAAAATACAGACCTGTAAGAAATGGGAGCAAAAACAATGTTCTCTGATGCAATCTGAAAAAATATTCATCCACTTCCATACACTTCAAGCAAATTCATCTGCTTTCATATACTTAATGCAGTGTTTCTAAAAGCCAACCTTCAGATAAAGTTTCCTTATTAATTAAGCTGGCTACAGAGGAACCTGTTCATTTGGACACCTGCAGCTGCTGAAGACGGGAGCATAAAAAGCCAAGATTTGCCAGTCTTCAGAGTCTACCCTACCCAATCCATGAGAAATTAGCATGAGTAACAAAACAAGCACAACGATGTGAACATCATGGCTTTTTAAACAGCCCGATTTATCTGCATCTCAAGCAAGCACCGCATATTGCAGCACATACTGTGAAACACATACTTGTTATCTACTCTTTGCTCTTGTGTCTTGCTTAAGTATTGTAAAATGTGCAAAATTATTACCCCTACTTGACCTTTACATGACACACAAGATATTTTAGCATAATGGGGAAAAAAGGCAAGCCAGACTGGTTATATTTCAATGGCTTAAAAAACCCACAGAGAATCATGGTCTCTACCCTACTAAAACAGTAATATTTTTTAGGTTCTGTAACGGTTCTTTTAGAATCAGTTCCCTTTATGCAAATCCAGGTACAGCTCACAAGAAAGAAGGGGAAGGAAAATACAGGGAGATGTTTAAACACTGTATCAGAATATATACCCCATGTATTATCCAATTTCTAYCCAAATTTAATTGGTCAAACCATCTTGAAACTGCTAATTGCAAAAGCACCGAATTCCAATACTGAATTCCTTCATATACGATAAGGCTACTATTATAACAATTAGGTTCCTGATTATCTGCTTCACAAGACATGTTTTTGKAACATGTGGAACACTTCCATCCTAAACTGCAGCCTTCCAAGCACTTTGGCCTACAAAATGCAGCTCATTACTTCCCTGTCACACAAACTTTCCTCATAAAAAGCTTTGATATATAGAATAAATTCTTTATGTGATATATACTATAAACTATTTATGCAGTTTTATAACATTATAATTTATAAATAAGAACTAAGTGTCCCAATTTATAAATAAGAATAGAGTGCAAGTTCCTCCACACAATCATCTCCAAATCCTAACTTTATATTGCAACTRTAAAATTTCCATGCATATTTCTCASACTGGCCATAYTTCAAAACAGAAGGTAAGCAAATACTGTAAATAACTACCTATAGACTACTACTATTCTAATCATTACTTCTTTAAGAAATGTGCTTTATGAAGCTATAAAATATGTTTTGACAAAGACAGCCTGCAAAAGGGAACGTTAAACTGAAAGCACAGTAAATTCACCCAGATAAAAACTGCAGACACTTTTTGTGTACGGCAGRAAAGATCCTCAAGGTTGAAGAATGCTCTTTGAAAATGCAAAACCACCACTAAATTGAGCCAGCAGTTTGGGGAAGTTTGCTGCATTTTGCAGCTGACAGTATTGTTGTTGTTTCATTGTAACTGGTCCAGGAACTGAGTAAAGAGTCGTGGCTGGCACTGACAAAGGCAAAAGTAATCTTTTGGCACAATTGACTCTTTTCTGCCAGAAACAACAGTGCTAGTAATCCAGTCATTATCATAACAAGTCTTCCATTGCCTTGGTTTCAAGAGACACATACATGGGGGCAGAAAAGGAAAATATCTTACTACAAGACAAAGTCCTTGGGAAACTTTAAGATACATTAGGTTATATCAATCCATTTTATAAAATATGTCAGTAGATAATGGTTATGCATAGAGTTCAGATGCATGACCCCTAATCAGTAAAACATGCTACTCATTTAAAGATTTGAGTCAGTGGGACATAAGGACTTATGTTATGGTTCTGCTAAATCAGCACATGAACAGCAAAAAGTTCTCATATTTTAATTATACCATTTGAATTATGCAAATACATCGTTTAAAGAAACTGCTCTAAACCAAAATGCAACAGTTTCAGATAGGGAAGAACAGTTATTTCTGACTCCCAGAATTCTTTTTTCTAGAAAGGCCCTGTATAGTTAGCTAGAGTAGTAAACTTTTCCCTGCCAAGTGTCTTTTCCCTCCTTTTCATMCAGCATTTTTTATTCTAACAAGCYCTAAGCAGGTTTACGTGTAAACCTATCCCTTAAACAAAATCTTCACACAAGGAACATGCTTTCACATTTTAGATGCTCTGTGAAGGCTACATGAGAAAAAGCAATCATTTACTGCACAGAGAACACCAGCACTCTGACATATACTGCTCCTTGACATCTGGATTTGATTTGGAATGATGCTGCTGCCCTTGGTCTCCATCAATATAAGACACCAAACAAGTGCTGACCCTGTAGCCAGCAACACTCAACCAGGAAATCAGGTGTGTCTACAGTGGTGCTCAAGAAATCTGTCCTGGTCTGTACACTAATGCTTTTTCCATGGATGACAGATAAAAACCACCCAAATGCTGGCAGAGACAAAGACCCAGACAATTTCTAACAGGATGGGTACAAACAATGCATTCTTTAACACAGCCAAAGGTAACTCTACATGACTGAGCCAGGACCRTCAGAAGCATCTTTTAGATGCAAAGCTCCTGAACTGGGGAATGCTTGGTAAGAAAGAATATGAGAGTCATCTATGGTAATAAATTCAATAAAGTCTCAAAGCAAAAGTGTCATGAAAGTGTTTAGTGTTTTCCTGGGAAATGCRAAAGAGAACAGAGGATCTAGGGGGATCATCATCTTTGTATAACCCCTTCCATAAGGAAATGCAACGACCAATTCCAGTAGCCATTAATTCATCATGGATGTTAAAGGGCACAGGAAAACTGTGGCAGGTAGCAGAGCACTGAAAAATGTGCAGGGCAAGGCTACAGTATCTYAACCTCTGTAGGTAAACCAAAAGAGGGAATTGAACAACTGTGTGTYGTTATAAAGGTCCAATAACAGAGTCACATGCATTCAGGCAGACAGGGGTATAACAAGGTTCTACCCCCACTTCCTTTTTTCAGTAGGCATTGAAGGTGGAAAGTAATTGAAATGACTCATGATTTCACAGTTCTCAACCAAAATCGAAGACTTCTATAGCACATAGGCTGCAGTTTAATGAGGGAGTAATTCAGTGAGTCTGATGTTGGGGTGTGTTCAGCTGACAGTCTGGGGCTGGTCTGGCTCACAGGGACCCCCAGAGCACTCACTGTGCTGTCCCAGAGAGGACAGCCCTGCCCTTGGCCAGCCGGGCACACGGAKCAGAGCCAGAGCACAGCCCAAACCAAGCACCTGGCCAGCAAAGGTGAAGTGCTCCTCACTCACCTCCGGGACACTGGGCCAAATCATGAGGATGCTCTCTGGCTTTATGCATTGGATTCTAAACAGGCTTTGCTCAGCATCACTTTTATGATGCTGCTGTGAGCATTTCAAGCTCCTCTAGAGTCRAAGAAACCTGTTGCCTCATTACTTCAACATACGTATTCATTCTGAAGAAACAGATCCAAACATTCATCTAATAAAAAAAAAATTGGATCTTACAATCAAACTGAAATGAAAGTTGGTCTTGCTGGGGTAAGACAAAGACTATATTTAAAACTTATTTCAAGAGACACAGGCTCTAATGTTCGTGTAAACACGATAATATACTTTATAGGGTTACCATCTGCTATGATGTTGATCAAATAAATGATTTGACAAAAAAAAATCACATTGCAGATTGTTATACTAGGTACTCAAGGTATGAGTTTCTATATTTTATGGCTTCTTTATCCAATTTTGTTTCAGAGTAATGATATTCCTTCAGATAAGATTCAACATCTGAAATCAATTACAAAAAACCTGCAGCACAAACCATAACAGCGTTGATTGTGTTTTGCATCTCAGMCACACAAACAAATCAATCCACCATTAGGCCATATATTGCAAAAGTCTATTATGAAGTATGATACCAATTATTACCTTATATTATAGTTTAGGTCTAGACTTCCTAGTAAGAGAATGAAAATAGTAATAATATTTGATAGAGAAATACTATACTTTAAGTATAGCATTTCAACTTTCAATAGGTTAAGACTAGTTCTCATCTCCTCTTGTTGCTTTCAATGAAAAATATTTCTCTTTTTATAGCTGACATATTTTATTAACATACCAAAACTATTTATACTCTAACAAAGAACTCAAAATTCGCAAGTCAGATAAAAAATAAATAAATACAAGATAAAGTTCCACACATTTATTATTCAGGGAGCAGGAAGAAACATGGGTGATAAGGGGACCAGAATGACACTCAAAACCRAAAGCAGCTTTGAGAATAGATGCAATGTGGTAGGCTTAAAATATCCAAAGCTAAGGKCATTAATCAAATTGAGAAGAGAAATGAAATGCAGGCGATCTATCAATAGTCYAACCACTTAACTGCCATTAGGATAAATTCAGATGCAACATTATAATTAAGTAAAAGACAAACCACTTTCATTTCAAACTATGTAAATAGGGCATTTCTGTCCATCCACCTTCCATGATATAGGAATAACAAGGGGAAGTGCAAGCATGGAGGGGGGAAAAAAGAAATTTCAAATCTYGGTGCTTACTATTTCTCGGAGAACGTACTAATTGTCTTCCAGCATACAGATATCAAATTCACCCCCACTCCTCCAGATCAAAAAGCAAAGTTCCTCCTCAGTAACAGAATTGCTTATTAGAGGCACCAGTAGGAGTAGCAGAGCAGTATCCTTTTTTGTATCCTTTTTTGTACATCTGCTCCAGAGAAAATGAATGGAAGAGCTATGGACATGTCGCAGAAACACCATCTTGAGTCAGTCATCTGGTGCAAACTCTAGATTTTACAATTACTTACAAAACTTCCCAAGATAATTTTATTAAATTGCACAATGCTGCTCACTACTTTCCTCTCCGTATGGAGCCCTGCTGTCACAGACACTTAATCCATTGTGCTGTGTAAAAGTGAGATTTTGCCTGGGCTTAC